AGCTATGTCAAATCTCATCCTCCTCCGTGCACGCAATGTGTTTACAATGTATTCTCTTCACATATTATAGATTCCGACTACAAAACAGTACATATGCACTTTCCTCCAAGTAATGTAAAAAAGAAACAGTAGAAAGCGCGGGAGATTAGTGAAAGATCGTCCATCTTCGCGACCGGAACACTACTTAGCAAGTCAATCACATCAGCAATATATTTTAAACAGATAAAGATCAAGCTCAAAGATCCTCGAAAGCGGTACGTTTTAAATTCGGCACGCGTGCGACATGTCCTTAGACTGAGGCTTAAGGTAAAGAGAATCACATCAACGCGCCTCCGCATGATCGCTTTACGTGTTTGGGGTACTAAGACCTCATCTTGGTTTTAATTAGGACTTTACCTGCTTTGCTCAAAACATTTAATTGTAACAGAATTACTAGCGCTTGTTTATTGTAATATGTTAGATATTCCTTACGTGGTAGAGCCATGCTACAGCTCTATTAATAGTATAGTTGTAGCACGAATGGGTCGGCTCGACCGGGGAAAGACCACGCTCTCACAGAATACCAGCGTAAAATGGCAGCTTAACGCTGCTGTGTTTCGTATGGTGAGTGTAAACCAGATGCCCTTTTTACTGGAAACGAGGCATTCAATGTTAGTCCTCACGGCTGGCAACGCATCTGCATTTTGATTCGTAATCGAGGATAGATGTAGGATGTCTATGGACCAAAGCAACCACTTACCATCAGGTTGTGTGCTAGTTTGTCACCCTTATCCTATAAAAAAATCTATCAGCTATTTCACGATGGCATGGTTTGAGAGCGTAGTCCTTCCCATTCGTGTTACAGCCATATAGCCGTGAGCATGCGGGTAGTAGTCAGTAAGTGGATGTTTTCATTTAATATTGTAAGGGAACTCCCTGTTCGACTACTTATTTAGTCTAATTATTTTGAGTTATTTACAGGAAGATGCTGCTGCCCATCTTCCATATTAGTTTCCTCTAAAGCCTCTTACGACACCGACGGGACGTAATGAGGTAGTGGATATTCTTACACCGTCTCTACACAGCTAGGTATTATTACATACAATCATTTACATAAAATGTTTAATGAAAGAAACGGGCGTATAACCAACGACATAAATGCAGCTAATTATGTGTAAAGTTAAAACCATAAATCAACTCCGTTCTCATGATCTACTACTCGTATAAACGTAAAACCAAACTGTATGGTTTACGACGTCAGTTAAGTCATAGTAAACAATTGTCTTCCTTTCAAGCTTGTTGCGGGCGTTTATTATGTAAACGAATTTTCAGTTTCATTGTTTGAACCTCAAAACGAGGAAGTTATGTCAGACCAACAATCAGTTCCTAATCCCTAATGAGCGTGTAGTGGCGGTGTAAGAATATCAACGAATAACCTCAAAACAAGGAAGTTATGTTAAACAAATACGAATATCATTCCCTAATCCTTAATGACCGAGTAATGGTGGTGTAATATCCACTATCCCATGTAGTCCCGCGGGTGTCGTAAGAGGCGACAGAGAGAAACTAGAACATGAACAGTCGCGTCTTACTCATAAGAAATAGAAAAGAAAACTGTGGTTGCCAACCCACCTCCCAACCGTGGCAACTATGGTAAATATTCTCATTGTGAGGCTATCTCTGAGGGGCCTAAATTGAGCAGTAGACTTATATAGGCTGTAATCAATTAATTTTTTTTACATCAAAATTTAACACCCAAGTTTTTACATCAAAACCATAGACGCGCCCCGACACAACGTACCTCGCTATAAGAATAACCTTTTGCAACCAAAATCTTAATTAAAATTACACAGTACAGGTCCTTACCCGATGTCAATAAAAATTTATAATAAATTGCCGGAATACATAAAAGCCGAAACAAATATTAATAAATTCATTAGATCTTTAAAAGCTATACTTATTAAAAAAAGTTATTATTCAATTAATGAATACATGGAGGAAAAGAATTTTTAAATGTCTGCCCCTCTCCTGTTCATTGCTATGCCTTTCGAGGTGCATGTGATTGTTAGAACTTGCATGTTTTGTTTAGTCTCTAAGTCACATGTAACGCAATTTGTGAATAAATAAATAAATAAATTAATGATGAATGAATAATGGAGTGTAAAGGCTTGTGTTATCATATAACGTGAACTGTCACTAAAATTAAAAACAAATCTAATTAGATATGTAGTCAGTTAAAATAAGAGTATTTCAGCCTTGAAAGAACACAGCTACATTTTATAACTTATTACTTTGGTGTGTGTCGCTAAAGGTTTTATTGGGGAAAAAATTGATTTATAAAAAACATTAAAATTTTTTTATAGGATAGGGAGACAATCGAGCACACAGTTCACCTGATGGTAAGTGGTTGTTGTGGCCCATGGATATCTACATCTATCCGCGTTTGCGAATCAAAATGCAGATGCGTTGTCACCCGTGAGGACTAAGATGAAATGCCTCTTTTCCAATAAAATTGGTCTCTGGTTCTCTACACTCACCATACGAAACACAGCAGTGTTAAGCTGCTCTTTTACGCTGGTATTATGTGAGAGCATGGTCCTTCCCCGGTCGAGCCGACCCATTCGCGTTACAACTATATCAGTAATATAGCTGCAGCATGTGTGTACCACGTATAAAATTATGAGCCATGATCCTTGTGAGAACACTAGGTCATCATCATAGAATGAAGTTAAGAAACGAGCACACAGTCTACCGGATTCTAAATGGATATGATGTAGCCCAGACACCTCCATTTATTCAATCATCAATAATAACCAAAATGTAGATGCGCTGTCACCCCTGAGGACTAAGATGGAATACCTCATTACCGGTAAAATGGGTTTCCGGATCTCTACACTCGCCATACGAAACAGAGCAGCATTCAACTACTATTTTACGCTGGTATATTCTGTGAGAGTGTGGTTCTCTCCCGGTCTAGCCACCCATATTACAAATGGTACTACAAATATAATATATCTGCAGCGTGAGTGCGGGAGTACGTGAAAACAGAATTTGAAAATGTCGTTTTTATTCAACATAAGTTACAATAATATTTATTGAAAGTCATTTAAGCTATACTACTGATTCGGAAGAATTTCTGTCCTAGGAAGAACCATCAATAAACCCAGCGAGACTTTAAAAAGAAAAAAATATTTTATACACTGTATATACTATTGAGCTATACAATGAACTATATAGATCAAGCGAATAAAAATCATGTTAAACAAGAGAAAACATTGTGTTAAATATATCTTCCTAAGATGTTTGTCTAAGCGCTACCTTGACTGTAGTGAAATATGAGGAGAGCTCATTCTGATTTCATCGAGTAGGTCAGGGTCACTCTGCGGCTGCTACTGAACCGAGGTTGGAGTACATCGTTACAGTTCACTCGTAACGAAGCAGCTCTACTACTTGACAATATTGAATTGCAATACAGAACGATATTATCATCACATGGGTCATTAAATTATAATGTTTCTTGAGCTAAGTATATCAAATAACCAAAGTATACTATTAATAAATTTAATAAGATTATTTTTTGATAATGTTATTACTTATTATGTCGTTGATCTAACCTAGTATATATAAATGTTAATAAAGGTTACTTTTCTGAGAGATTAAAGTGGATGGTGTGCTTCTTTTGTCACCTTACTTGTAATAACAAAGTCACAGTCTCTAATGTCAATTAATTTGACACTGACATTAGAGACTGTGACTGTGACGATCTTGGGGTCGTCATTGTTATAACTACATGACAAAGAACAACAAAAGCATCTTCTGATTGTTCTAATTGCCAGACAAGGCGCGCGCTCACATTCGAACGTAATTTTACAGACCACGCAGCCACTCCACCTTGTCTCGTGGGAAGATCAGCTGTCACAAAGGCTCTTACGTAAAATTCCTTTTAGATGAAATATGTTTCACGTGCTATACGTGGAAAAGTTGGTTCAGAATATTGCTTTTCATTTTCTCATAGAATAAAAATGTCTCAAAGATTAAAAGTTCTAATAAGTAGCGATAAAATAGTTTCTTAACCTTTATTTAAGTAATGTTCAAGCCTCAATATAATTTATGACCTATGTAAAACAAAATTTCTTTATCATTCAACGACAATCACATCATGCGTCATGACGTCAACAGGTGTCATGAATAGGAGAAGAGTTATTTGATCTATGAGTAAAAAGTACAATACTTTTTGCTAATTATTGCTGCATATAAAGAACGTTGAAAAAAGGAAAAAGGATAAAAAAGGAAAATGTTTTCTATAAAGAGTAAAATTAAACTTTTTTTTAAATGTATTTCGTATTTAAAAAATATCTATCTACTGCGGCAGTATGGCTACATATTCTCAGAATATTGTATTAAATTTTAAATTATGTATATAGATGTAACGTATTTAATTTTTTTTTTATATAGAGTAATGGTGACAAGCGAGCACACAGTCCACCTGATGGTAAGTGGACCCATGGTCCATGCTCATCTACATTTATACACTATTAAAATCAAATTGCAAATATTTGCCATCCCTGGGGACTAACATGGAATGCGTTGTTTCCAGTAAAAAGGGTCTCCGGTTCTTTACACTCAGCATATAAAACACAGCATCATTTTTCAGTTGTTTCACACTGGTATTCTATGAAAGTGTAGTTCTACCCCGGTCGAGCCGACCCAGTCGCGCTACAACCATAATATAGCTGCAGTATGGCTCTACTGAAATCTACCAACCCACCTACCATGCGTGGTAACTATAACAAACATCACCATTGTGAGGCAATCTAAATTTAATAGGATGAGGGATGTTTGATAGGATGAGGGATGTCTAATAGGGTGAGGGATAAGAATGAACGGCAATTCCCGAAAGTATTCTGGACCTATCAGTTATCAACGTGCTCAAATGAGATCAAAACCAATGAACGAGTTTCCAACCTGCTTTAACCATTACTTTTGGAACCAAATGTAACAGAACCTTTCTCTCTTTACAGTTAATAGCCGGTCTACTGGTGGCCGCAGTAGCTGCCAGCCCACCATGGAAGCACTACAAGCGTGAAGGTGGGCATTATTTTTTTATAGGATAAGGTGACAAACGAACACACAGTCCACCTGATGGTAAGTGGTTGCTATGTCCCATAGACATCTACATCTATTCTCGATTACGAATCAAAATGCAGATGCGTTGTCAGTCGTGATAACTAAGATGGAATGCCTCGTTTCCAATAAAAAGGGTCTCCGGTTCTCTACACTCACCATACGAAACACAGCAGCGTTAAGCTGCTATTTTACGCTGGTATTCTGTGAGAAAGTGGTTCTTCCCCGGTCGAGCCGACCCAAATTAGTTTTATTCCGTATCCTTGTTTAGCTTTATTATCTTTACGAATGTACTAGACGTTCAGGTTTTTTAACAAGCAACGAAGCAAAAATAAAACACCTTATCATCTTTGTTTCCAGCACCCCTGAGTTCCTCCTATTTACCACCTTCGAGCGGCGGTGGCAGGCCTTCGTCATCCTACGGAGCCCCTAGACCCTCAAGCAGCTATGGCGCACCATCCACCTCATATGGTGCTCCCTCTTCAAGCTACGGGGCTCCATCTTCAAGCTACGGGGCTCCATCTTCAAGCTACGGTGCCCCTTCGAAGCCTCCAGCGACCAGTTACGGTGTACCAACTGGGCCTTCAAAATCTTATGGAGCGCCTAAACCTTCAAGCTCATACGGTGCCCCATCTTCAAGTTATGGTGCCCCATCGTCGAGTTATGGAACTCCATCTTCAAGTCATGGAGCCCCATCTTCAAGTTATGGTGCCCCATCTTCGAGTTATGGAACTCCATCTTCAAGTTATGGTGCCCCGTCTTCAAGTTATGGTGCCCCATCATCAAGCTATGGTGCCCCATCCTCATCTTATGGCGCTCCTTCATCTGGTGGTTTTAGCAGCGGTGGTAGCGGTTTTGGAAGCAGTGGCTTCGGCGGTAGCAGCTTCGGAAGCAGTGGACCATCTTCCAGCTACGGTGCTCCTTCGTCCAGTTACGGCGCACCATCCACATCCTATGGAACCCCATCTAGCAGTTACGGTGCACCTAGCTCTAGTCATGGTAGTTCTGGTTACTCTTCTGGTGGATCCGGAGGATACTCTTCTGGCGGATCCGGAGGATACTCTTCTGGCGGATCAGGAGGGTACTCTTCTGGCGGCCATGGTTCTGGTGGCTTCTCTTCTGGTGGTCACGGATCAGGTGGTTACTCTTCTGGCGGTCATGGATCTGGTGGTTATTCTTCCGGTGGTCACGGTTCCGGTGGTTTCTCTTCCGGTGGCCATGGATCAAGTGGCCACGGATCAGGTGGTTACTCTTCCGGTGGCCATGGGTCAGGTGGTTACTCTTCCAGTGGCCATGGGTCAGGTGGTTACTCTTCCGGTGGCCATGGATCAGGTGGTTACTCTTCTGGCGGTCATGGTTCAGGTGGTTACTCTTCCGGAGGTCACGGTTCAGGTGGTTACTCTTCCGGTGGCCATGGATCAGGTGGTTACTCTTCTGGCGGTCATAGTTCAGGTGGTTACTCTTCCGGAGGTCACGGTTCAGGTGGTTACTCTTCCGGTGGTCACGGTTCCGGTGGTTTCTCTTCCGGTGGCCATGGGTCAGGTGGTTTCTCTTCTGGTGGCCATGGTTCTGGAGGGTATTCTTCCAGTGGGCAAGGCTCTGGTGGATACTCGTCTGGAGGTTCTGGAGGCTACTCATCGGGCGGGCACGGCTCAGGCGGTGGCTACTCCAGCGGGATTCCGGCCACCATCAGCCAAAGTTATGACTCCAACGGTGGCTACGTATATTAAGTACAGTTTGTTTTAGTATAGTCGTTTTTTACGATAGTCACAACACATTATGATTTTTTTATCACAAGATCCGCCACATTTTTTATATAGAGACAAATATAAGAAATAAAGAAAGAAGGAACACGTCTATACCAGTTAAAGCGTACAGCACAAATAATAAAAAGTAATAACAGTGAAAAGACAAATAAACACTAAATGGATTTCACTTGGTAAGACACTTGCAGGAAGTTGGATGCAGGTGGCTCAGGACTGTGCCTTGTATTTCCTTGGGGGAGGCCTCCGTACAGCAGGGGACTTGTGAAGAGCTGTAATGATGATGATGAGATTAACCACATGATAAATATAAGGAAATACACTTAAAATGAACTTGTGATGCAGCATATAACTGCGTAATGGACCAGTTTGTGATAGCACTGGTTTTCAGTCCTGCTTATATTCCGGGGTAGTCACGTTATAAGTAAAATTTGTGAAAAATCGACGTCAATCAATCTTTTTAAAAATTTTAAATACAAGACTCTCGCTTTGCGTTGAGTTGTTGTACCAACTTTAAGAAACGTATAACAAATTACAATCTACAAAAATGTACGATCATTTTGTGTATCATAATGGTATTTCTATAGTTCAATTTTTTATACAAAACTATTCACAATAAATTATTAGTTACAGAGTGAGTGAGGACGACCTATAGATGTATGTTCATGACATATGTAAAGTTACCATCCACTTTTTCTTATTATATTAGATTAATAAAATCAGAACCTTAATTTTCAAGTGCCAATAATAATGTTTTATAAAGTTGTTACATAGTCTCTCTAAATAAAGCCACGAAGTGTAACTCCGCCAGTTATGAACTTAACATTGTAGTTAAATGGAAGATAATATTAATAATAATTTAATTTTAACGAAAAATGTACAAAATCTAGTTTAAGTGCGAACGAACATTCTTATTAAATAAAAATTTGTAAATAATTGGATTTTAATTTAAACCTCCCTAATCTCACGTCAAAATCTTTACTAAACGCAAATTCTTCCTACAACTGGAGAGATCCATGTCTGGTAGTAGATTTTTAGAGGCTGAATAAGAAAAGATAACCTAATTTCATCGATTTTAAAATGTTGATAAAACATTTATAGATAAATAAATATAATCTAAATCAAAAATGTAAGTTAACATTATAGCTTATAAAAAACTACAGTATTTACAATGACAAATAAACACGCAAGTAAATATTTTTATATAGAATAAGGATGACAAACCAGCACGCTGAAGCACGCAAGATGCGTTGTCACCCCTGAGGACTAAGATGAAATGCCTCATTTTTATTATAAAGGGTCTCCGGTTCCCTACACTCACCATATGAAACACAGCAGCGTTAAGCTGCTATTTTACTCTGGTATTCTGCAATAGCGTTGTCCTGTCTAACTGACCCATTCGTACTACAACGATACGCGTAGTATAGCTGCAGCGTGGCTCTACCACGGTCTAAAATAAGACGAAATATACAAGTCCCAATCCTGATGCATTCATTCGCATTACTCACGCAGTTCGTCAATTCATGTAGTATAAAACTTAATTTAAATCCAAATCAATGTAAATTCCATAATTGTATTATGTATGTATTTTGTTACAAAGAGCAATGGCAGACTTTCATACATAAAATTAGTTGAGAAGAAATGGTAGCGTCTATATACCAAAAATATCTTAAAATGTTAAACGTGAGTCCCTTAATAACTCTGTCAAAGAATTTTGTACTGAGAAGGCGTCAAAAAAAAGATATTTAAATTTGAACCTTTTTAGGTTATGTCCTATGTCACTTGGAAAAAGTCATGCTTCCTGTGGTTGTTTGATGTTAGCTTAATACATTATAGATAATTTAGAGTTTTTAGATTATTGTATCTCTATTATATATTTGCATACTATAAATGTATATTTCTGGCATGGCTCCAGAGCTTTTGTACCATAGTGACATTCTCAGAAGGGCTAGAACCCAGAGCCGTAAAGCCAGTAAAAAAACAGTGACATTTTATTTTAGCTAGTGTTGGCATAACATTAAATGGAATTGTTACATAGTACTATGATTGAGATAATATATTATTGTAGGAAATTCTTTGTAAGAGACTTATTCTCAGCCATATCATTTTTATTTTTGTTATTACTGATAGTACAGTTATTACTAATAATAACTTAATATAAAAATATTTTGTGTGTTGTGTTGGTAGTGTTACAAGTGTATACGAAAATAGTACGAATATATTAAATGGCAACATTTGGATAGAGTAAAATGATCAAAGTGGAGTTTTGGCGGGAAATTGACCGGCGGCGGTTTGCTGCTCCTGTATTATTGTTTAAATAATGGTTTGAAGTGGACTTTGATATGTAAAAGTGTTGCGATTTTGTGTATTAAGTGTCTACGCATGTGAACTATTAGTGGAAACAGTGAAACAAGTGCTCTGATGGTGATGGAGTCTCAAGATAAGCTGTTTGTTTGCATAGGCACCTTTAGATACCATCGCCAACTATCAGCTGTCTGCTGGATCAAGTTGCCGCCAAAATCTCCCAAGAACTGCACAATGTGACGCATCAACATATTGTGAAGCAGTATACTATGAAGGAGTGGGGAAATTACAATAAACCGAATAAAAATACTTAAGACTTGGCCTAAAGGTCTAGATACCAGGCCATAAACTCCAAAAAAAAATGATCAAAGTCATTTGATATTCCCAAAAATGTTTGTTTTATCTGTGGCTTTAATTAAAATACATTTTTATTTGAAAAATCATAGAAAAATAATAAAACTCATTTTATATATAACTTATTTCTAGACGCTATAATTTTTGTCAACTATTTTTCTGCCATTGCTCTTTATATTTCTGTTTTTAATTTATTCATTGTATTTTTATCTCATTTACACTAAGACCAAAAAAAAAACAAGGAGTGCTGCGTACTTTCAAGCGACGCAAAAACTATGCTCAACGATCATGAAACGGACGCACACATCTTTCTTCTTTCTTTCTTTATCAGTCGTCTGTAAAAGTTCACCGCTGGACGTGCACACATTGTTAACATAAACCCACGTTGTTGGTTGATTTTGGATGTGTGTACGTGAGTGCATTTTCCTTCAGTAACTTGAGCATGGTTTGGTATGGTTTTGCGGTACTTGAAGAAATGTACGTGGCTCTCTGTCTTCTTCCTTTTTTGTAATGGATGATAATAACCCCTTGGAGTGAGGTGACGCTACCAAGCAATTCCTAATTTGTTTTGTATAGTTAATTGTAACATATTATATCATTCAAAATTAAAGATAAGGAAGATTAGAAATTAATTGAATTTCTTACCAGAAAGTTAGAATTGCAAAATTAAAGCCTCGCTTCAGAAATATTAGTTGTAGCACGAATGGGCGCCTCGACCGGGGTAGGACGGCGCTTTCACAAAATACCATTGTAAAATAACAGCTAACAATAGCCATCGGAAACCCCTTTAACTGGAAACGACGCATTCCATCATAGTCCTCAGGGCAATGCATCTGCATTTTGATTCTTAATCGAGGGTAGATGTAGATATTTATGCGCCACAGCATCCACTTACCATCAGGTGCGCTGTCTGCTCGTTTTTCACCCTTATTCTATAAAAAAACACATTGGGAAATTATACTGAGCACAATTGCATCAACACAAAAGAACTATTCTTCACACGAAACAATCTGTGTTAAAAATACTCGCTCAAATTCAGTCTGCCTATGTGACTCGAAATTTTATTTTATTTTTACTTATTATAAGAAAGTCCTTGGTGCTTGATTACAATCCCACCTGCAGGGCTAGCATGGGCAGGAGACAATTTTATCCCCGGGGAAAAGAGAAAATGTTTATCACCTCACTAAGTTTTATCCACCCGTAGAGCATGGGCACACCGGTGGATATAATATCCACAGTAGATAAATTGGGAGATAGAATAGATTTTTTTTGTATGAATATAAACTGACAGTGAATGTCCAATGAACTAGGATAAAATTGTCCCTTTCAATTGTCAGAAAAGCATAATTTTTTTATCTTTCATTTGGCTCCATGCTATGGACGGGGGATATATGTCCACTCGTTATGTCAAACGGGGATATACTTCTTCCCGTTTGACATAACAAGATAATTTTATCTCTGGTCAGTGGATATAATCGGGGGATAAAATTTTTGTCCCCCGCCCATGCTAGCCGGGCTGGTGGTAAGTGGTGATGCAGCCTTAGATGATAAATTGCACTGTCTTAGCATTAACAAAAGCCTATTCACTCTTGCCTTGAAGACGACCAGATTGTATTAATTTATTTTAATTATTTAATTTACATTAATATTACAGCCTTTATACGTCCCATTTTTGTGCACAGGCCTCATCTCATTTCTTCCCAGTTCGAATGACTGGACCTCGCATGGACTCCAAATTCTTCGTTACTTACCGTTACAGCCTATTGAAGTCCATTGCTGAACTTAGGCGTGCCCCATAGATTGCCTCATGGGGAGGATATTTGCCATAGCTGCCACGCTTGGCAAGCGGGTTGGCAACCGCAGGTTTTTATTTTTAGTCGTTATCAGGAAGACGCTGCTGCCCATCTCCTGATTTGTTTCCCTGTGTCACTTCTTACGACACCCACGGAATGATATGTGGTAGTGGATATTCTTACACCGCCACTACACTACTCCAAAACTCTACATGGGTGTCCGATCCAAAATCTTATTTTAACGTTAGCTATAAACTAATGTTATTTATTTTTGTTAAATAATTTCTAAGATTAGTTCACTGGCATTATTAAGTCAATTGCAGCTCTCTAAGAGTAAGTAACAATTGAGTTATTGATCAGTTGCAACAGTAACTGCTTCATGTTTATTTTCCGCAGTATCTTTGAACTTTCTTAATATACATAAACTTTCAAGCCTGTTACTTAGAGAGGTAGACAGAGACTACAGACTTCCATTTAGCACGATCCCTACATACCTCTTTTGCTTCTTTCACATTCATATATCTATGCATACATGTTGTTTAAGGGTGCTCTTAATTTGGCTCATCCTCAATATTTCGCAGATTTTGTCGATAAATTTCTAAGTTGCCACACACATCTGTAGCATAAATTTGCTTTGTCACTCTTTCCCAATTCATTGTTTCTATCTTGTATAAATTACTGAAGCATTCTTTACTGAACCCTGATCACAGCATCTTCTTGCAAACCACGCTTTTGTGTGATATGTCAAGTGTTAATCAAAGTCGTCTTCTATGTGTTTTACCAAATCCGTTTAGTGATTGAGTAACAAACATACAGACATCTTTAAAACATCATATAAATACAGATATATATTAAAGGAAATTATAGAGGAAAATGAATGTGTTCAACATACTATAAGTTTTATTTACGTTGCAGTGGTGTCTGCAGAATTCACAACATTACACAGTTTTTCACGTTTCCAAATATCAACAAGGACTAGGTATATAAGTCAATAATAAGTATAACTAGTAGCTAACAGTGGACAGGTCGCTTCCTAATCACATGGGTTCAATTAAAGTCAAATGAGATAAAACTAGTGCAGGAAACAGAAGAACATAAGTTTACAATTTTCTTATTGTATGTCTCTACATTGTATATAATATAATCTAATAAATCTTACTTTGTATTTTCAATAAATAAATCAGATGTCTTAAATATGTTGAAAATTAATTTGATAAGATTCGCGTCATAAAATAAAATGATGTGTCTTACCTAGTTTGAAGAGAAAATCCCGCCCTCCCTCAATTGCGTCACTATCCCCGTCAACACTAATCCCAGCACCATTACTCCTAACACAACTACAGTAGAAAAGACACGCCACCGTTGATAATACGACACGGGTGGCTTTATTTTATTATGCGAACCTTATACCCAAATACTCCAACACTACTCAATTTTAAGATGCTATTAAGTCTCTTGCTGTCTCTATCACTCTAAGTC